TTACGGAGTGACAGTAGCTACTACATAGTTGAAGTTGCAGCTGAGTTTCCATTATAAAATTCATTTTGGCTCCTCTCTAAAATCCACAACAAAAGTTATATTCTCTCTCAAAACTGGTATTTTATATCTAAGGTTGAGGGGAAAATTTTATAGTAAACTTGAAGTGAAATTTTTTTTACATAGTGCACTCAAAAACAAAACACTGTAAAACTTCAGAGCCTACAAGTCCACTTGGTCTTACTTCTTGTTCAGCCAATTGCTAAGACAAACAAGTTTGTTTACATTTACTGGAGATAATGCTGCCCGCTCCTTATTTACAATGTCACCTGAAAGTGAGAACAGGCATTCACATGGCACTGTTGTAGCCAGCGTTGCAAGGTATTTACATGCCAGATATACTAAACATTCATCTGCCCCTTCATGCTTTGACTTGTAGGCACTAAAGTTTTACATTGTTTTGTTTTTGAGTGCAGTTATGTAAAAAAATAATAAATCAACATCTGTAAGTTGCACTTTCACTATAAAGCGACTGCACTATAGTACTTGTATGAGGTGAATTGAAAAATACTATTTTTAAAACCTTTTTTTACATTGCAAATATCTGTAATAAAAATGATAATATATGGTGAGCACTGTACACTTTGTATTATATTTTGTAATTGAAATCAATATATTTGAAAAATCTCACAAAGAGATTCCAAGCATGATGGGAAATGTCCCCCTGATTTTCTCCCCCCCCAAGCCATCTGCACTTATGTATTCCCCATAGGAACATAAGAACGGCCATACTAGGTCAGACCAAAGGTCCATCTAGCCCAGTATCCTTGTCTTTGGACAGTGGCCAATGCCAGGTGCCCCAGAGGGAATGAACAGAACAGTTAATCATCAAGTGATCCATTCCCTGTCACCCATTCCCAGCTTCTGGCAAAAAGATGCAAGGGACGCCATCCCTGCCCATCCTGGCTAATAGCCATTGATGGACTTATTCTCCATGAACTTATCTAGTTCTTTTTTGAACCCCATTCTCTGAAGACTTCCTGAGGAATATAGGAAGGGATTCTGACTCCTGCAGACCTAATGAGATCTGCATGGAGTGTGGGTATATAGCTTGAGAGAGTAGGTGGCTCATGGCAGAAAGGCAAGAGAGGCATCAACCCCCTTCCTGAGGACCTACTAAGATCAGCAGAAGAGAAGAATCTTTAATAAGGCTTAGAAACCTCATCACCAACCCACCCCAAGCTTTTGGCTTATTGAGCCGCCTTCTCCCCCTCTTTGAGCTTTAGGAGGATCACCAAGACCATCCCAGCCCCTCGCAATCCATAGTAGGCTTTTTATATCAGACACAATCCTGATGAGCCTTCCATATCTATGGAGAGTGCTCCAATTTACTACAGATAGTGGCCAGAAAAGGGAGCAACAGGTAGGCAACTGCGAGCTGCCTAAGGCTCAAGTCAAGGTAAGAAAGGAAGAAAGAAGTAAGGATGGTTCTTATGGTTAATGCAGACACCTGCGGTCTCGAGACCTGGGTTCACTTCCCAGCTCTGCCACCGATTTCCTTCATGATCATGTATAAGTCTTAGGGCCAGTTTTAGGCACTAAAATAAGTGTGCAGACTCCTGCCATCCAAATTTTGCCCCTCTCCTCAATTTTACAAATAGGGAGCTGCAATTCTATACACCCCTTAGGCTCTAAAGGAGAGGAGCCCTGATCCGGAGGGCCCATATAGATTCATAGGAGTAGGACTCCCACAGGAAGTCTGCAGTGTCAGTTTGCTCTAGACTGTGCTGGGGGGTTGGCTTTAGTATTGGGGGAGTGCAAAGGGCCCATTTGTGCTCCCTTCCTCAACTGGGCCCACACATCTGCCCCAATGTGTTTGTTTCACTTTTAGGTATGTAAGTGATAAAGTAAATAGAGAAATACAAATCTGAGACTTTTAGACAGAAGGGGATTTCATCCCCTCACTGAAATTCAGGAGCTGTTCATTGATAGTCACAAGCCGCTTACAGAGGAAATCCAGATCCTGGCTTTGAGACGTTAATACTGGCATAATAAGTCTATACTCGAACTATTCTCTCAGTGTAAATTCATCCCTCATGAATGTCTGAGGTTCAGCATAATGCCACCAAATATCTTTTGATCAACAAACAACAGCAATTTCTGTAAACAAATCATGATATTCAGCTTGTTATTCCTACTCCATGAAGTCACTAAGTCAACATTTATTGAAGTACTAATCATAGAATCACAGAATATCAGGATTGGAAGGGACCTCAGGAGGTCATCTAGTCCAACCCCCTGCTCAAAGCAGGACCCAACTAAATCATCCCAGCCAGGGCTTTGTCAAGCCTGACCTTAAAAACCTCTAAGGAAGGAGATTCCACCACCTCTCTAGGTAACCCATTCCAGTGCTTCACCACCCTCCTAATGAAAAAGTTTTTCCTAATATCCAACCTAAACCTCCCCCACTGCAACTTGAGACCATTACTCCTTGTTCTGTCATCTGGTACCACTGAGAACAGTCTAGATCCATCCTCTTTGGAACCCCCCTTATGGTAGTTGAAAGCAGCTATCAAATCCCTTCTCATTCTTCTCTTCTGAGGACAAAACAATCCCAGTTCCCTAAGCCTCTCCTCATAAGTCATATGCCCCAGCCCCCTAATCATTTTTGTTGCCCTCCGCTGGACACTTTCCAATTTTTCCACATTCTCCTTGTAGTGTGGGGCCCAAAACTGGACACTAACTTGTTTCTAACAAGGTTCAGTAAACACTACACAAAGTTCAGGGCAGGAAGCAAAGGAGAATATGGCATCCAATTGGAACTGTAGGGGAAGCTTAGTTAGGAGGAGTTTGAATGTAACATTTTATTTGAATGGATTCTAGGGCATTTAAGTACATGTTATATGCATATGATTTGGGTGGAGTTTTGGTAAAGATATTTTAAAAATGCATCATTGAAAAAAATCAGAACTATTCCTGGAATGGAGGAATAGCCATGGGCATGGAGTCGGATGCCCCACGTCTAGGATGGTAGCATTGCATCAACATTTAATACGCACATTCATTCCTGGGCAGTACTGCATTAACACTTGGTTTCATCCGTTACTATTCATCATTAGCTTTGTCTTAAAATGAAGTTCCATCTCTCTATATTGAAAATAAAATGTCCTATGGTAACATGACCTCAAAACTCCTAGGAACACTATTTGCACAACTGGTGGAAACAGCCCTGAGTATAGGGAAGAGCAATTGTCTGCAATTTATTGCTACATACTGCAATCTGTTTGATGAGTGGGGCTTTTAAAAAACAGGAGTAGTTATGTAATATATAGTAAAAAGATATTTTCCAATAGAAACATTATAACATTTCCTTTCATTTGAGAAGACAGCTTCTACTTTGTTTTTTGAATGAAAGCAGCAATATATTACCTGAATTTTGTAAGGAGAATCAAAACAAAGATACAGCAGGCATACAAAAGCAAAGCCTACAATAATTCATTACCGGCAGTCCTTGTATTTACAGAAGGATACATTGGGAAAAGATTCATGTAGTTTCCCTATCAACATTATGCAATGAGAGAGAGAGAGAGAGAGAGATCATATTAAATGACATTTCTATCAACATTTTAGGGTTAAGTTGTTCAATTTATCAAGGCCATCTGGTGCTGTTTATGGTGGTCTTTTGCATTGTATATTTCAAGTTTTTCTTGTTGGAGAAGTGTGATCCATGCTTCACACTTGCTGAGAGTATTATGTCTTTTTGCTGTTAATGCTATGTACAGGAGAATGGAGAGCTGATAATATGCACATTCCATCTATGATGGAATGAAGAACCCACTAAGTGCAGTGAAACAGTCACTAAAGCAGGATGGTAAGAATGGTCTTATGTCTAAAGGACTGGATAGTGGGTCAGGAAATATAGGTTCCCTTCCTGGCTATGTTACGTACTTCCTGCATACTTAGAGCTAGTTACTTAACCCCCCTGTGCCTCACTTTTACCATCTGTTAAATGGGGATAGCTACTTCCCTACCTCACAGAGGTGTTATGAGGCTTAATTCATTAATGGGTTAAAATTCACTATTGTGCAGATGGCCAATACAAGGCCTATGCAGCACTGAAGTCCCACTTAACCCCTCAAAACTTAAATAGAACTTGAGTGGTGTATAGCTTGTGTTAGCTCCTCTTTGCATAAGGTCTATTTTCACTCTAATGTTCATAAAGCCCCTTGAGAGCTTCAGAAGCCACTATGTAAATGCAATATATTCATATTATTGTTATTAATTTGAGAGATACATCTCGTTAGAAATGCTGTTTTGTGTTCCTAAGATGGTAAATTTGCAGGATCACAGTACTCCTTATTAAACAGTGCAAAACATTTTATAGCAAGAGGTCTTAGAAGCATGCTTGTTTGTAAAGAATACAAATGAGACAAAGAAATGATATTCACTGGAGGGAGTCTGTCAAAATACACCTCTACCCCAATATAACGCTGTCCTCGGGAGCCAAAAAATCTTACTGCGTTATAGGTGAAACGTGATATTGAACTTGCTTTGAACTGCCGGAGTGCACAGCCCCGCCCCCCCCAAGCACTGCTTTACCGCGTTATATCCAAATTCGTGTAATCGGGCCGCGTTATATCGGGGTAGAGGTGTACAACATGACCACACTGATTTAATTGAACCCACAATATGATTATTTTGGAGCCTCAGTGATGATTGTAATGAGATGTTGTCTTTTTGGCCTACACAACTGCCATTATTACCTATAAAAACAGAAAATGAATACTTTAAAATGATCATTAATTTAAAGATATATATGGATGCCCACTTTGGCAATCAGCCAAAATATGACATCATGCCTTGATGAATAAGACTGAAGCAAAAGTTCAGAGGTTTTTGAGATGCTGCCAAAATCGTTTTTGCATTTGATTGCTGGAAATAATCCACTATGAATGTCTATGCAATTGCAAGAAATTCATCTGCAGTGTGATTGTCATGCATACCTTGTCAATTCCTCTGTATAGAAGACCAGTCGAACTTCTTTCATTTTTTTAATTTCTATTAGTGAGACTTCCATAGATAGCTTGACACAGATTCGCAATACATCACACTTCCTGTTTAGGAAAGAAAAGAAAAAAGAACAACATTTGAATATCACTGGGAGGAAAAAGGCTGAAAAACATCGATAGAATTGTTAAATGCAGACCTTTCAGTAATGTTTTCCACATGTGTGAAATTTGTTCCAGCACAAGATCAACGCATCACTTAAATCCCATTTTGAAGGCTTTAAGTGGGAAAAATGATGCATAGGCCTTGGGCTGGCCCTCCACATAGGCAAGTATTTTACCCTGAATGAAGCACTGTGATTTGAATTTTCTAAAACTATTGAATTTAGCTGCTATAAACCCTGAAAGCCTCAAAAAAAATTTTTTTTTTCCAAGTCTCTTGTACTTATGCAGCTAAAAAGTTTTTTTTTAAATCCCAACCAGACAAAAATGTCCCAACCAGTCCTTCCTGTTATCAGCATGGATAACTTGTTTTTAATCCTTAAAAAACAAACTTTCAGTACACATTGGAATACACAAAATAACAAATAAAAGGAACTGCAGTCAAGTTAATCAACCAAGCAAGAGAATTCAATGCAGCCTGTATAAATGATTATATGTACTGTTCAGCAACATGTCATCATATTCTCAGTAGCTTGTGATATTGTTATTTGTGGATGATACTTCTGAATAGGCTTTCATTATATCTACCTATATAAATCACTAATTATACACATAAATACACACACGCTGCATGTTGAAAAGTGAAATGTTTTTATTCTCCTGCATTTGGGATGACCACACAACGCTACAGCAGCAATGTAAAATAAAGCTCTGTGTACAATTACGATGGGTCATCCCAAGGAAGAGAATTTACTATTCCATTCTTCCTCTTTTCATCATGTTGTATTCCATACATATCCACATGTTGTATGTTCCGATGTTCACTCCAATTAACTCTGCTGTTCCGTTTTCTGAAAATCATTTTTTTCAGTTTTTTTTCCACATCCCTCTGCCCCCAATAATGCTACTCAGTGTGTCCACAATTACACATCCAACTCTCTTTGGAAGATTGAATATATAGTTCCTGCAAATGGGAGACATCTCTTTCTCTCTATCTAGGCACTCATATGGCCCTCGTCACATAGCATGGCAGAGCAGGAACTGAACCCAAGTCACTTGAATCCTATCTCAGTACCCTATCCACTAGACACTTCCAAGCAGGTGTCTACAGTATGATCCTCTAATAGAGACAGCTCTTTAGAGAATTTTCTAATGCCCTGTCTACACTATAGTAACACTACATTTAAACTAGAGAGACCTACAAGAATCTACAGATTTGTAAATTAATTTATTATTTTCATTCCTGTCAAACCAAGAAACTGTGATAGCCCTGCATTAGTGTAATTAGTCCCAACTAACATGACATAATTACACACACCTGCTGCTTTCACACACTCCAAATTCTTTCTATATAATCTAAAATCAGGTGACTGAGATGACCCAGGTACTAAACACTTTGAGACGAATCCCGACGTTCTGTATGTAGGCACATCTCCATTTAAGTCCATAGCATTGCACCAGGTCTGACTTTGGACCATGATTGTTTCATTCAGGAGGATGAACATATTTTGATGTACATATCAGATTACTGTGTTGTTATTTTATAACTGTATTTAATGCTAGAGTGGTGTAAGGTAATTTACAGGGAGCAAAGAGATGTAGTGAAATCCTGGTTCCATGGAAGTAAATTGCAAAACTCATAATGATTTCAATAGGGCCAAAATTTCATCCATGTTTCCTGCCCTTAGGAGCTGCATCCTGTATCCTAAGGCAGTCAGAATACAACTGACTCCTCTTGGAAAGTCCTTTAGGATCAGATTTTCAGCTTGGATATCCCTTTTGTACACTACCATCACTGGGAACTGCCTTTAACAGGGAGACATCCAGACAAACACCATGACAAGGTTTCCGCTATACTTGTTCTTTTAGGGTTTCTCTCTTATTCCTCCACATTTACGGCTTTTCAGAAGAGAGAAACATGGTAATTTTACCTTTAGCAGAGCATCTGTTCTAAAAATGCCAAATCTTTTTCAAAGCCATTTTGGCCAATTTTACATCATGTTCTCACATGCTTTGTTATCAGATGTGGTTTCATACCCATATCAACCTCCCCATTCCTCATCTCAGTTTCTGCAAAGATATCACCCATGTTATGTTTTTTTAACCTCCCCCCCCCAACCTTCCAAGCTCTTTATTCCAGTTTTGCTTCACCTGTTTCATTATTGCTCTTTCCATTCCATGAGTTATCTTGGTAGTTGTCTGGCTATGCTGAAAGAATGACAGGAGACATTAGATATGGGTTTAATCAGGCCACAACTTTATTATTAGATGTCTGGGACTAATCCGGTGGATAAAATGTGCAGTGCAGGTGAAAATCCCCATAATTCACCAAGGGGAGGGGGGTGAGTGCTTTTTTCAGCCCCCGGCACCTTTCCATTCATGTCCCTTCAGCAAATCCACTGCTAGAACCCTCCAATTCCAGCCAATTCGGGGGGAAGCTTCCATCAGCTACCCCCCTTTTCATCCAGGTCCCTCCAGCAATTCCCTTGCTGGGACCTTACCAATTCCAGCCAATTCTGGCGTGGGGGAGGAGCTTCCACCAGCTCCACCCCCCCTTTCATCCAGGTCCCTCCAGCAATTCCCTTGCTGGGACCTTACCAATTCCAGCCAATTCTGGTGTGGGGGAGGGGCTTCCACCAGCTCCACCCCCCCTTTCATCCAGGTCCCTCCAGCAATTCCCTTACCGACCACCCTGCTTGTAGGAGGGGTTAATGTGGACTATAATGATGGGGGGTTGGCTCCCAGCTGTACCAATCAGAGGAGTCCCCAACGGCCCCCAGCTTGCTCAATTGCCAAGCACCTCTCCTTAATTCCTTTTCCAAGCCATTATTCCATTCTTTTGTGCCACAATTTATGGAGTACCTGCACTGAGCATCTGCTATACACTTAAATAAAATGTTGCAACATATGGCCTACTGCCAGTTATCTTGTGCATGAACGGAGCCCACCTGAACCTGCTGCGAGGAAGGCAACCCCCCCCCCCCCACCTGCACCTGGTCAATATGGTGGTAAGGGAAAAATTCCTTCCCAGCCACCCTTAACGGGGTGGCTAACGTAATGCCCACACAACTATAGCTAAACACACAGCATATTTCTGACCTAAATAGGGAGGGAGGGTGGGTGCTGCCCAGCCTGTTCCGAGTGAAAGAGTGGTGGAGCCAGACCCAGCCTGACCTTTTTAAACCCCTCATTCCTAGCAGTTTTATGTCCCCCCCCTTTTCCCCCAAGCCAGAAAGCATTGCCCTCTTCTCCCGGCCAGCCAGACAACTCCCCCCCCCCGCCCTTCCCCCCACTTAAAGTGCAGGGTGGTGAATCTCCCACTTCTTTCCTCTGACTGCCCTCTTTTATTCTATCTGTATCTGTAGTCCACTTAGGTACTAGAACCTACTGACTTATTCTTCTCATAGACTTGCCATCTTAATAGCAAATTTTTACTTTTCTTCTCTGGTCAGATCAGCTTCTCCCCTCCTTGCTTCTGGCAAACATGATACTCTGCTTCCTATTTAAATATTTAACACACTGTAAAATGTGCCAATGTATCTGTTTGCCCCATTGAACAGCTGGGTGTATCCAATTTGTGTATTTTTAAAAATAGGATAGAATGGTCTCCAAAACTGAGGTGGGAATCATCTGGATCAGCCTTAGTCAGTCATGTGCACATAGAGAATCCACAGGCTGATACTCTGAAGCAACATGGGGTTGAGATATCACTGATAAAGAAACTCTTCCACCTTAACTACACTAAATAAGTACAGAGAGGGTATATGTTGCTGTAGTTTCCTATAAAGATTTCATAGGCATGGGTTTGGGCTTGCCACGTTATTACAGTAGAGGACAACACTACAAATACATGAGAGTAAATTTACTCATAAGTGTAAGTATTCGCATGATCAGGCCTTTAATTTCTCTTTCAGAATTTTAGGCATAAAATCAAAAACTAAAACCCAAAAATCTACTCCTTACGTTTACATTCCTAGTAGTATAATAGAGATTGCCAGATATTTTTGTTGAAACCATCAGAATGTTTGTAACAATAAACACAGGATTCATTCTTTTGTTTCCTGATTTAGGAAAGCGTCTCTATTCAGTAAAGCATGTGCTTAAGTCCCATTCAACTCAACATAAACGTGTACTTTCTGAACTGGGGCCTTGGTGAACATCAAAATTTATTGTTTCTCAAGGTAAATTAATCTTATTGTTCAAGAAATATTACCTTCTTTAATGGGAATTATGTGAACAATGTGGAAAAAACAGGATGCTATACTAAGCAAACAGCAATGGCATATCAACTATAGTATCTGAGACATGAAAGTGACACATACTGAGACTAGATAAAAACAAAAGAAATACAGAGACAAGCCAGACAGCTAAACAATTTGTTCAAGGAAAAAATCCCAATAATTAATACACAGTATGCAGACCAAGCATTTAACACAATAACTTATTCTGTTTATTTAATATCGGCACATTGTGGTATTGAAGAGAGCAGGATTTAATTTTTAGCCAAAGCCCCACAGTTAGTTGGTGGCTCTTCACTAATCCATTGTACCAAAAAAATTCTAAACTTCAGCTTTAGGATTAATGGCTGAGAGTGGAAATCAATGTGGAATTTTAACTTAAATGGAGTAAATAATTTTGGAGGTGAAAAGGTTTGAGCAACCAGAAGATGAAAGAAACTTTCTTATCATTGACAGTCTAAATTCTGCAAGCTTTTGCATGCAAACTTATGAATTGCTTGGATTTTTATTTGTGTTTGTTCCATTCTTAAAGTCATATCTGAGAAGTATCTGGACCAATTGATCAGTTTGGCCCCAAAGAGGCATTTTTAAAATGAACATTTACAAAGAAGAGAGTATTCATATCCTTTCAGTATCTCCTGTATCTATAAAATCCAGCCTGGAGGGAGGGAGGGAGGGATATATATATATATATATGTTAGTGAGGGC